TCTGGTGGTAAATGATTCATGGTGGTGGAAATAGATTTTCTTTTAATAGATTGTAAAAAGGGGATCGTTATGCATCCTTGGTGTTTTTATTGGTTTCTTTTAATTGATTATCTTTTACAAAAAAAACATAGCTTGATAATGAGGATTTGAATGCATTGAAAAACAGTCCAAATGAGATATTGTGGTTTAGTATGTCCATTTTCATTATTTTTGTACATTAAATCTTACGACCACCCTTATTTTTGGTGTAAATACAGAATTGGGGTAAACTTTACATTCTCGTAGCATTTGGTTGTGATGTTTTACCTCACAAATGAATGTAAAATTCCAATATAGGCAGACAGACCACTTATAAAATCGGATGTAAAATTTTAGTGCCATTTGGAAAATCTTTCTTAAAAGATCTTTCGCCAGACCTGACAATCAAAAGACAACATGAGCTTTTTACATTTAGATCTAACAGCCTGAAGACATGATGAAAAAAAATTGAAAAACTCCATTTGGAGTTTACTGAAAATAGCTTAAAACGGGTTTTATGCGCTTTTTAAAGATATCATCTTTTGATGACTAAATCTTTTTCCAACCAAACGGGAAAAAATAAAAAATACAGACCATCCTAAGCTTTTACACAACCAACAGCCCATGCGAAAAGACTCATCAAATGGAACCGACACTCAACAGCCTATGATGACTACTAAATAATAACAGTGTAAATCTAAAAAAATCAACGGTTCCCTTTTACATCATTCACTAAATCGAAAGCCTCCTAATCAACAGTGTAAATATGTATATATTTACCCCTTTAAACAAAACAAAGATATCCTAAATAGACAATTTAATAATTTTACCTTCATCATTAACCCCGGATTAAGTGCAAAACACTCGAGTCTAGAAGTTCAGAAGGGTCTTAGTTACAAAATAGAATTTGGGGGCGAAGTATCACTATTCTCTAAATACAGGTGGCGGCCTGTAATTTACCTTTTTACCATCATCTACAAGCATATATCAACCATCCAAGAAGTGGCTTCAGCTTTAAATGCTGCATTTTCAAATTTGTCATTAATTGAAACCATTGAGACAATGTTGTTTTACTTTGTCAACAAAGGAAAAAAGAAAAAGAAAAATGAAGAAAAAAACTTCTACATAGATCATGCATTAATTGTCCAAACTCCAAACTAACAAAGGGAAAGGCTTCTAGATGGATGCGTGGAAGTTGCGATTTGTGTTTTATATTTACGGATTTTTCGGTGGCGGAGAAAGATTTGAGAAAATATTGACCAGTTAAAGGGAACAACACCTTCACTTTCGCTGCTTCTAGATGGGAGAGACTCTGACTCTGACTCAGACTCAGACTCGACTCGTGACTCGTGACTCGTGAGAGAGAGAAACACGGAGGCCTTTACGTTCACGACTCTGCCTTAATGTGGTAAGGTAAGATTATAAGAAGGGTCTTCGAATTATCCCAAAAAAAAACTTCGCCTTAAAAGTTAAAGGGAATGCATGTGAATGCATCAGAGTTGAACACGTCCATATCCCACTAAGACAACCGTTACCTTTGGTTATAAAGTGAAATAAAATATTCTTTTTAATTAATTCTTACTTGTAATCCTAACAAATAATTTATATTTAATAATTCTAAATAAAGATTAAATAATATTATTTAAATTTAATATTTTGTAAACTAATGGAGTAAATAATTTTTCAAATCCGCATTCATATCAAAAAGAGGCTTTTAATCTCAAAAAATTATACAAATAAAAATATTCATAATAGAATAATAATTTTAGTACTTAAAATTTATAAATTTGAATGCAAAATATATTTTAAAATTTTTATAAATTATTAATTAATATTTTAATTTGCATTAAATAAAAATATATTTATTATTTACAAAAATGACATTTTATTTCATAAAATTATAAAAATAGTAATATAATAAGTTTAATAATTAAAAATTATGAATTTGCATACAATATGTATCTTAGAAATTTTAGTATCTTTGAGAGAGTTTAATTTAAGATTATATATTTTTATAAATTATTAATTGATATTTTAGTTACATTTTATGATAACATTTTTATTGTTACAAAAATAAAAATATTGTTTACCAAACATTTGAGAATTAATTTTTAGTTGATTATTTAGTTAATGTTAAAATGTAAAAATATAAAAATAAAAAGCAATTGATATAATAATTACATATAATAATTGCATGTGTTTTGTGACATGAACTTCAATTGAAAATAAATAACAGCTTTGTACATGTATTAATTTGTGAAAATTTATATAATATGTTTTAGGACTCTAGATTGATACATTATCAATAAAAATTGTATGATTTCTATGCATCCGCTATATTAATTGTAATATATTTATTCACAAATGCCATTAAAATATACATTTCCTATGCATTTATACATTAATTTTGACTATTTTAACCTTAAATGTAATGTTATTAATATATTTATGGAATTTAGATGCATTTCCTAATGTATCCAAGCATCTCCATATTTTTTCATCCGTATCCATGCATTTCCAAAGTGTACCTGTATCTAGGTGGTCCGATACGATACCCGATACCGATACTTTAATCCTTGTATAAACCAATTAAACTGATAAATCGAGACATCATATTATAGTTTGGTTCTTGTTCTATTTCAATCGTTTTCAGTTGATGTAACAACAGTCAACCCAAGATATTTAATTCGATTGACAAAATTGTGTACAATCAAACCAAACCGACCCAAGAACAGCCCTAACCCTCCCAACATCATGTGACAGCATTACGAGTCCCACTTTTATGGTGGCTCCCAGTTGCATAGTGATATGTGTGGTGTGATATGATGTTGGAACGTGTTTTATTGGCTTGAGATCCAAATTCTGTTCATCAAGCTGCACGTTAAGCACATGTCTTATATTTCCTATTGCCAATATTCTAGATATGCATCTAGGTGAATGTAGTCAGCAATATTGTATTTGTGGTCAGCTGATCTGAATTCAAATAATTATATACAGTTCTTGATGGCAACCCACCCGCTGGTAATTGGGTCATGACTCCAATAGCAGCAACCTCCTTGATGACAATAATGAGAGAAGTTTGGTTATTTGGAAGCTTCCTGCAACCTAACTCAAATCGACCCAACAGGCCAACACAATCGAAGGGAGAGGGGATATATAACCTGCTCCGCCCTACTTCATATATTGTACTACACTTATACTCAATTGACAATATAAAAATTAAGGTTCGACTATAATGCCAAAAAGACATGTTACTAGAAAAATTTACAATCGGAATCATAAAAATAATAACCAATCAAATGGGTTTTCATCAAATAATACCCAATTAACACTGACCCAACTGTGTGATTTACCACCTAATCCGGACCATTAACATTCCTATTCCAACACAAATGCACATTATAACGCTTATCTGAAGCTCAGTTAACATCCAAATTCAGGATTAACCGCTCCCAAATGAGATATTCAACTTTAACTAAAGTCTGTTGATAGAGACTGGACAGACTATCATGTTGGAACTTTTTTTTTTTTTGTTGGAAGCAGACACCAGCTAGCTTCCGTTGACAGCTCTGATTAGTGATTACCTCTTTTTAATGAAAAGAAAATTGAATTCAATGCAGCAGCATACACCGATACACGGGGTGTGTGATGAATCAAGTATTAACAAACGGTCAAATGGTCGGCCTCTAGATTCTAATGTCGCAAGCAATGCGGTCAGGATTCCACGCTCCAGCCTTTCAAACATGATTCTAGAATATAGACCACGTTCCTTTTTATTTATCATTCCAGTCTACAATGATAATTCATCACGTGTTTAAATCTGCCAGCAGGACATGGTAACGAAAGAGTTTTGACCAATCACAACCCTGTGAAAACTTAATAAATACCTTAATAAAAAAGCTTTTTAAGTTTTTTTTTTTTTTCTGGTATTATCTATTTTTAGCACATAGACAAAATTTCATTGATCAAATGGTTCCCATGCATTATAATTCATTTGAGATTTGACAGTGCCGGGATAATAAACTGAGGGACTACAGACTAAGTTGAAAGGAGAGCATGTCTAAGTCTAACCAGGGTGTGAGCTACTTGATTTTTAGAGCGACAAACAAATCCAACTGAGCCATGGGAGATTTGATGAAGTATAACCCTGCAATCCGCGCGCCATGACTGAATGAATGCATCGATCGAGTAGGAGTAGGAGAAAACTTCTCCAACAGGGAATTAATCACTTATAACGCATCTCCCTCCAAATTGAAGTTCTAGGCACAACTTGAGAGCTTTTGGTAAGCCAATGCTCTACTTTCTAAAACAGAGCAGGGAGATTGGTTAGGAACCTTCAGTAATTCCGGTATGAATTACCTTCCCTGTGTTGCTTGTTAATCGTTATAATGAGATATTTCTGAAATCTATAGTGCAGTTATATTAGTAGGAAAAGTTTAGAACATTGACGTTACTACCTCAAGGCTTGTGCGAACCACTGCAACTAGGGTTTGTGTAAAGCTCAATTAATTTAACGAAGGAAAATCTATCGAGGGTGTGGATCGATATGGGAAAGGAAGTTTTTGGTAGAAAGGAACTCAGATACAGTCCTCACATAGTACGGTGTGAGCACCGTTTTGTGAGGGCTGAATCCCATCTCAATAGAAAGTTGCATGCGATCCTCGACAGGTGTAAGCTTACTCACATTCTTCTTCTCTAGCTAGCTTGAACAAGTTCTCTGTTCTCTTTCACCTTCACCTTGCAATTTGCTTCAATGTGCCCATGTTTAAAACAAAAGGATTCAGTCCTCACAAGTTGAGAAGAACCACCCGAGTGTTGAGTGTAGAGATTTGGGGATTATTGATGTTGTTATTCATATTGCATCTCAATCGCCGCAAGCCATTGATATTGGTAGAATTTCTTTGAAGGGTTTGCATTGGGATTCTATGGATCCCATAGTGGTTGTTGTTGACAATCTTGAGAATTGAGATGGTGGTAGGACTACACATTAACAATAATAATAGGTACAAGTACTAGAAGGTAACAGTACCCAACCAAATGCTTCTATAGAGCTCGAGAAAGGCTCCAATGAAAAAACAAAAACACTTTTGAAGGAGGCGTCAGTAGAATGCGATGATGATAGGCCAAATTTTCAATGGCTTGTAGCGAATCAATGGTGCTAGGATGGTCAGGAGATTAGAATCAATGACAACATAGCATTCCTTTTTAGTAGAGTTGGTCAATGTAGAGCTCAGGGTGTTCCTGATGCAAAACAAGAAAACAATTCTAATTAGGTAGCCACTCCCACGAAAAAGGATAATTATGTTGTTGAGAGTCCGGTTAGAAATAATTCCAAAGAGAAGAATAATTCTAATCCAAGAATGGGTGACAAAGGAAATTAAGAAGAAAAAAAGAATTGTAATCTAAGAAGGTTAAAGAGACAATTCAAACAAAAGCTATATATATATATATATATATATATATATATATATAGGTTATCTAGAATTAACAACGGTTGTCACACCCAATATTCTTCTTCCTTCAGTTTTACTGTTCACATTTTTTATTATAAACTCCTTTTTGATCATTAACAAATTCTCTCTTGATTATAAACTTTATATTACCTATGTGTTTTTATGCATAGACCTGCATAATAAAAAAAATACCAATTACAACTATTTCTCATAAGTTTTCATAAATCGAGCCATCTTATGTGTTGTGTTGGCTAACTAACATGTCAAAGGACATAGAGTTAAAATACTTACATAACGATTTGATGTGCCTGATATAAGGTGTATTGTATCTATGTATAAAGGCATCAGCATGTACCTATGTCGGCAATCTATCAACAATTGCCTATTTTTTTCTTGGGGTATTTATGTATTTTGGATCATGGGGGCAAAAAAGGTGAATCCAATATTTTTTTTTTGTATTTTTGTAATTTTTTATTCTCAATTTTATTTGAGAATTATTTCTAATATTTTCCCATAATCCAATCCCATTGTAATTTTTTTTTCAATTTTATCATTTTGTACACATTAAATTTGAGTCGAAATAAAATTTTCACAATTATTTCCAACTTATTATCTATTATTCATACGAATTTTCTATTTTTATATGTTTTTCTTTTCTTCTAATTTTTTAGTATAGGAAAATGATAAAAAAAAAAGAAAAAACTCGTGCCGGGCCTGACTTGGGAATGGGACCCAAGGCTCGGCATTGCACGACATAAATTGCGTTTGGGCTGCCTACAATCTGTGTTGTGCCAGCACAACACCACCCACATTACAATTTACAACTCTAATAAATGATCCATCAAACTCATTGATCTAACAACAATTTAGGACTTTTTTTTTGTAATAATTTAGGACCTATTTGGTTCATATAAATAGGGGTCAGGAATTGGAATCAAAATGTCCAACTGTTTGATTGGGTGAAATTGAAATCCCATTCCTATTCCTCTTCGAATGGCATTCCCACATTTGAGGGAATGGTCATTCCCTCCCCCTCACTTGGGAATGAAATCTCATTCTAACTTATTCCGATTCCAATTCCTGTCTGAACCAAATAGACTACAAGATGGACCATTCCAATTCCAATTTCAAGGAATTTTGATTTTGATTTGAATCCAGATTGAACTGCAAACCAAATGGACCTTTAGGCTCAGTTTGGAAGAGTACAAAATACAAATGCAAATTTGTAGAGTGCAAAACCTTGTATTTTGTATTATTTAATATGTATTTGCACTCTACATACTTGTATTTGCATTCCTTCATAATGTATCTTGTAATGAATGTTTAGTAGATTGGGAACAAGGTTAAAAGTATCAATACTCTCAATATGCAGAAATTGTGTATCAAGAGTTTGGAACCATTGAAACTCTTGTCACTTAATAATATCTACAGCACATCCGGACCATTTTATCACTTCATAATATCTATTATGCCATGTTCTTCTGTACGTTGGACAGTTACGGGCTTCTCAATGAAACTCGCTACAACTGCAAGTCTGCAAGTCTGCAACCATTTTAAAACTCAGCAGCGCTACCACAGTTCTACTTAACTCTGTAACATGAGTTTGGATTTGCTCCTCACAAAATTGGTCCTGTTAAAAGGGGTGTAAAGAGCAAATCCCATTTCCTGTTAAAAGGGGTGTGAGGAGCAAATCCCATTATCACTTTGAAATTCGAATCAGTCAACGATCAAGTAGTTCAATTTCTACATTGGTTTTCATGCAAATAGCGTTAGCTAATCTTTCTAATCGCAATATATTTTGTGTCACGGGACCAATACCAGTTCATGCTGGTTGAATGTAGAGATGCAGAAAAACAAGAAGCCACTTTTGGAAACTACAAGGTTCAGTTTTCTGAAGGAGCGGCAAACAAAGAGAAGAATCAAGGAGGAAAACAAGGAATATCTTGACAACTGATAAGGTTTTTATATCTCTCCTTTCCTAGGTCAGCATCTGTAGTAGAAAAAACGAAGTGTATGAAATTATTAATTAGAAAAAGGAAAAACATGATTACAAGATAACATCACTTACTTTGCATGGATTTAACATTCGGACGATCCCCCATCATTCTTCATCCTTCTGATCCCTTTCAGGTTCCACAGATTCATTTACCCCTAAAGCAAGCTCAGCCTCGAAAGACTTGGACGGTAACCTTTCATACACTCTTGATCCCAAGGGAAGAAGCTTACACTGCCCTGAGTTCAGAGTTTGGCTTAGCTTTTCATAACTCCATCTTTGCTGAATGTAGACTACTATTGCCAGCAGAACTGCAGTTACTGGTATTGCAATATCCCCAAACTTGGAGTAAAAATCCAAGCTAGGATTCACAAACTCATACTCCTCGGAGAAATATGGATTGAAAACCGGAGTTCGTATGTAGTCATAGACATGAGGGAGAAGTCTCACTATGGTGACCCCGATATAGTAAACTTTCCTGAGAGGTTTGCAGTGGATCTGCCACAAGAAGTTGCCAATAATTTGAGGAAGCAGGAAAAAATCTTGAACAAGACCCACATACTCCTCTAGTTTGGTTTCCCACTCCCACAGTGTATGAGCATTTCCACTTGGATCTATATATTTTTGTTGCCGGAATGGCCTCTGGCTGGCATTGAAAGCATGAACGGTGAGAACAATTATGAATCCAATTGTGTGTATAACTAAACTAGTGAAGAGGACCCGTTTATCACTTGGAACTCGACGAGGTTCTAGAGGGGTGCGTGTGAGTAGTCTGATACGGGATTTCCATACCTTCTGGCCAAGCCTAAGAGTTAGAAGAAAAGCAACCAGTACAAGAAGCTTTACCGTGTAATCAATCACATGGAACCATTGATTCTTATCAAGATCATAAGATGGCTTTTCATATTCTTCAGAGGCCATCCGTTTGAAAAGAGCCTCAGCACCTGTGATCAGTGGGATACTATAGCCAAGAGCTTGCACACCTAGCATGACAAGAGATATATAAGGAACTGCATCTACTTTATCTCTGATGTAGATCAACTGACTTAGAATGCAAGCAATTGCCAATGAAAGTGTCAGAATTCGAAGAATCCCCTCAACTCCTCTGCGAGAAAGTATGTCTTCCCGTTGCTTTCGATAAAGAATTGGAAGAGTCTGGAGGTTGATTGGGCCAAAATAGAGGGGGTCATCTTCAGTCCTTTGGCTAGCAATAGAGATCTTTGCAGTTGGATTTATTAACCATAGGGCAGTTGTGGGTGGGTATTCTATTTTAACTTCAATCGAGCAATCCAACCCAGCTTCAAGGTCATGGCTCTCAAATAAGATCTTCCATGAGGCACGGACATCTCTGCAACCAATTAGGTACATCTTTCCAAAATGTGGATCATATAGACCCTCCAGGAACAGCAAAGATGCATTACTATAAAGTTTACCATCCAGTATGAGCTGAGCTGAGACATTCAGAAGCATCTGTCTTTCAGTGGATTCAGCCTTAGCATGGAATGGAAAATCTTCTGTTCCTGCAGTAGAATAATTTTGTGATGGCCAGTAACGCCCAAACAGTGGTCCAAGAGATAGTATATCCACTTGAACAGTAGTTCTTAGAGGGTGGAGGTTGGACAATGGATCTGGGACAGCAGAGACATGCAGGGTGAGGTCCTCAGATAGAAGGGAAAGACTGACTAGGAATGACTCTGAATCTTGTAGCGAAGGAAATTTGAGGAATGATTTCTTGATGACAGAACCGAGATTGAAGGGCTCACTTCTCTCTAAGAAAGCACCAGCTAACTTGATTTTTGAGTATTTGTATGACAAATGAGAGGTGCTAAACTGGTCCCACAGATCGGAAGGCTGCATTATCTTTTCAAAGGATAATGGGAAGTATGAACCAGTTCTGTTATTAATGCTTGATATACTCCCAAGAATGGCATTTCGCTGTTTGACAGAAAACACTAGAGGAGCATATGCACAAATTCGTGAATCACATCTATCCACTGATTTGCCTACAACTCCAATGCAACCAATCATGCATAGCTGCCCGCTGGAAGAACTCCAGATTCCCTCAGCAGAAAGAGTCATGTTGCTAAGACCTGTCCTCTCCACAGCAGTAAACTGATTCTCAAATGGAGGAACAGCTCTGAACACAGCAGACACCCTTGCAGAGCTACCATTGCCCTGTGCTTCACACCTCACATCCTGCATGAGAAGCCTAACATTTTTAAAGCCACCATCGGTGGCATTAATCTCCTTTACTGACATGAAGGGGCCCAACTTGCGGCAATACTCATCAGCGTTATTACACTTCCAATTTGGCACAACAGAGAAGGCCTCTCTAGATGTAAATCTCTGAAGAATCCCACAAAAATCAGACCCTTTATAAACATCAGTCCCATCATCCATCAAGTTATCAGGATATGGGTATGGATTACACGTCTTGGAGATGAGTTCTTCTGACCCAAACTCATAATTCGCATAAGGGCCCAACTGAGAAGAAATGTGAATGGTATCAAAGTACTTAATACTTGATTTCTTGTTTAGGCTTTTCATTTCTCCATAAATTGCCCGGCTACTCAAGGTAAGGGTCTTTGGGTAATGAAGGACTAGCAAAATTTGATCATCCTGCAAAAAACTTGGCTGGTAAGCATAAGGGCCAGATGCCTTCGCCCACTCCCATGGATCAGTAGAATCAGGCTGACGAGAAGGCAACATCGAAGTCCCCAACAAGCACATCACACGTTCCCCTCCTTTCCCCTCGGATTCAGTATAAACCCCTTGAAACGAGACAGCAAGCTGAGAATGTCCAGGCCACATCTGAAAGTCAGGGGATCCCTGAAGATAAGGCTTATAGGCAAACGACCCATTTCTGGTAATGCCGAAAAACAGCAACCCACTGACAGCGATCGTGTACTTCGATGTTCGGACTGGATTAACGTCCATGACCCAGAAAGAAATTAACTTTAAAGGAGAGATGAGATCTGCAGAGCTTTTGGGCATGTCACGGTCATCAAATGGAATTATCGGTGAGCCGTCCTCCTGCTGCGCCCAATCCCCATTTAAAAAGGAGAGCTCATTTCTAATAGTATACACTCTATTGTCATCTGGTTTCAGTTCAGAAGCCGAAGATATAATAGACTTACATTCCCTCTTGACTTCGTCGAGCCGATCGTACTTATAGGTTACAGAAGGTTCGCCTACGGACACGGCGCCATCAAACGGCGTCACATATGAATCGGTGAAACTAAAAGAAAAGAATACCAGCAACCCCAACAAAATCCAGATATATAGATCCGAAGATGGGATCCTCATGGCTGGAAATCCCAACTGGGTTTTCCCCCAAATCGCCGACCACCCAAAAACTATAACCAGAACTCTGAAGACCCAATTTCACTGGCTCAAATTCTTCAAAATCCAGAGAAGAAAAGCAGCATTTTGAACTTAATTACCCGCAGAACAACATCTAATTCATGTTAACCGCTTCCAAATAATCGATGAAACAAAACCCGGAAGAGCAAAAAATGAATTACAAGACACAGATTCTATAGCCAAAAGCGGTCTAAGGTGGGAAATCTATGAAGACTTAGATATGAAAGGGCTCACCTGGAACATGAATTGGCTTTGTTCTCACTTTCTTTTTTTCCGTGTGACGCTGAAGCTCATCTGATACTCAGATCTTGAGATTGGAGAGACAGACAGACAGAAGTTAGAACACAGTGAAGTTGAAGTTCACGGAAGGATTGCACCCTTGACTTTCATGCAAAGGCAACTAGGTGAGAGTGGAGTCGTGCAGCTGGTCAAGGTCAAGTGTCTATTTTCGTAAAAAAAAAAAAAAGGTTTTTAATGACAAATAGCTTCTTAATCTGTTTAGATTTAAAGATAAGTTAGTATTCTGCACATCTCAATTTGCGGAAAACACGTATACCTTGAGATCTCTACAGCAAATTTAGAAGTCATCTGGTGGCCTGTAGACTTGATCCAATGAAATACAGACATCAGTCAAAGATGTGTGGTGGTGATTCCCCTCACACACAAATCTTGGTATGCCCTAAATGCACCATGTAAGTTGCACCACAAGATATGAAGGGCAGTTTGGATATTTCATGAAGGTTGTGTTGGTCATTTACTATTTACGAAAAATCTCGGTTCATTAAAAAAAAGTGACGGTGGTCGATCCGCCGATTGCTCCGGCGACGGTGATGGGTCTCAATCGGATTAGGTCAGCTGCTGTCTTGGAGTGTTGGAGCGAGGGAGGTCGAACCGTCGAATTCGAGACCGTCTGGTTTCTCTCTCCTCTAGGATTTGCACATGGCACATTTGATACCCCGATAAATCACTTTGCCAACAGGCGGTAGTGATCAACCGTTCGATTCGAATCATGGAGAACTCCCACCTTTATATTCTATGCAAATGCACAGCATTATCATTTTCATCCAACGGTTTGGGACACAACAGGAAGTATGATTTGTAAGTTGTAACTACCATCCACATCTAGGAACTAGGGTGGGACCCCACGCTTAGTCAGTGGAACCCACGAGGAGGCAATTCATTTAATCTCAACCATCCAATTTGTCACATTCATCCGTCCCTCCCAACGTCTTCATAATTGACACGTCAACGAACTATAAGTGCGAGTGTATAAGTAGACAAGCAATAATTTTGAAGTTATGAATGATTGCACGTGCACTGTTCGACAAAATAACAAAACGATTTGCCTCCTGCGTCGAGCTTCGAATCAGTTCGAGCGCAACCTCTGGCGTGGCACAGCACGTATTAGTTTCAGAGGAGACTGCAAGCTTACACAGTACTGTCAATTTTAGCTTCTGCTTAAGCTTGTTGAAGTTCCATTTCTGCTGAGTATAGACTACTAGAGGAAGCACGGCCATAACTTATTGGGTTCCTGTAACTGTTGTGAAGCTGGATCTTTGACGTTATCATAAACATGGAGAAGCAGCTTTATTACTGTGAATTAATCCAATGTTGAAGGCCTTGCTCAAGGGTTAATTACCATGCATCTACCACAAAATATTGCCGATAATTTGAGGAAGCAAGAAGTGTTGAACAATGAACCATGTAAATTAATTGTAAAGAGCCCAGGTAACAAGAACATGCTTATCACTTGGGACATGTCTCTTGAATCCCTTATCACTTGAATAGACTCTCTCTGTATCCGTGATCAGTGGAAAGCTAATGGGGTTAAAATAGTAGGCTCTACTTACAAATTCTTTCAGACCCAAATAGAAAAGAAACTTCCCAAATGCTGATCTTATCAAAACATTAAGATCCAATTCTCTAGTTAGAATTTTCATTTCACCACGGTTAAGCTCTATTACTGATACTGAAGGTCAGTAATTACGGTTAGAGCCATAATACTTCATCAATGTCCATGGATTGACAATACCTTATCATATGGCGGATTTGGCTCTCCAATGACATTATGACACTTGGCACCTCATGCCAATTAAGTGCAGCCTCTTGACAAATAGTCAGCTCGTCACAGGTAGCTCACTACAGGAAGCCCACCTTCATGTAGCCCGGCACCTCATAACAACTAGGTGACAGTTGGGACCACTTTGGCAACAACTTGCCTTTGCTAAGTTGATGGTGTCCCACTAGGCGTAGCCTGGCACAGGTGCGACTTGGCCCTGGCACGAGCTGGCGGCCTAGCTCAGGCGCCAGCCTGACAACCCCGAGAAGCTCACCACCGTACCCCGCATTTTACGAGATTGTGACTTGTAACGGCTATATTAGCTCACCCGCTCCCCGAGTCAGGCGGAAATGGGCAACCTTACCAGTTGGTGGCTTTATCCCCACCTAACACGAAAACAGGTCCCATCACAGCAGGAATCCAGGAACTGCTCCACCTAACCCACGAGAACTTCAGTATATAAAGACTCCCCCCCAAGGGCGAGGGTACGTTCTATTTTCATTGGTGTGTGATCTTTGCTCTCTAGCTCTCTCACTGTTATCATCTTCAAGCTCTCTACTACCACTGTGTTCTAACTTAGCCATCGGAGTATCCCCGCCGGGTGAGCCACCACGGGATCTCTGACTCATCTCTTTCAGGAACCCCAATTCTTGTCGTTGCTGGCAACCAGATCGTATCCAACAGGGAGCATCCGGATTACGCCACATCACCTTCCATGTAATGAGATATTGTTGTCAGCAAACACATCAAACTTTCCCCTCCATTCTCCTGAGGTTCTATTACAAACCCCTTAATAATGAAGCTATTCCTGGGTATGCCTATAGCCAACTACGCATCAAGCTACTAATTTTGAGCATGTTTTAGAGAGGCTAACTGGACCAGAGATAAGACCTGCATCATTCCATGAAATTCAAAGATAATATTAACTAATTGGGTTGTAAGTTAAAATACCCGGTTACTAAAATCAATTACTCTAAATACCCAAATGCTTTTTATTAGTTGCAAAAGAAAAAGCAGGCCTATATCCAGTCTACTCCTCCCAAAACCCGGAAGGATTAGCACTTGAGGATAGTCGAGGACTTCAACAAGTTCCTCTACCAAATTAACTAATTATTCATAGGACGTTTTGAATGCAAATTTTATCTTGATAGACCCGGTCAGAATATTAGATTTTAATATTTCTATGATCTACATTGCCCTGTCATTAAAATCCTGGAGCTCTGATTTTGAGATGTGAGACAGTAAGAAGAGATGGATAGATAAATTAGTTATTTTAGCTCCTTCATAGAAAATAATTAGTCTTGGCACTAAGAGGTTAAGTTAGGCAATATGGTTTGCAGATTAGGGGGTTGCAGCAGCAACTATATCAGTGTTTGGGAATTTGGAACAATCAACTGGAGACAATTTGTGCAGTCTTGGATGCACATCATCCTGGGGCCCCACTGACTACCAATACTCCTTTGAGACAATTGGTAATTGGTTGAGTTGATCAGGTCTTGCTACTGTTAAACAACCCAGCTTAGAATTTTGATGGCTATCCAAGTGCTAGAACAAAGTAGCTCTGAGATCAAATCTGTCTTAACTTGACCAGTCTATAGGGATGATGGTTCGGCGGTACCTTCATTCTGAGTAAACCATGCGAGTCCTACCGGTCTGTATATATAGGGCTACACAAACTCTGGTCTAGCTTGAATATTCATAGCTTTCCAATATCTGATTCTGCCCATCATTTCTAGCCTACCCAGTTGTTCATAGAATAATAGCTGGCCTGAGTCTGAGACTAGCAGCCAGCAGGTCTGGTCTGACTAGGCCATGTAGGCTTCATTGTAAGCTACTAGCCTAAACCTACTAGTGTAATGGGGCCCTGCCAAAGACAATTTTTCACCTCTCAGCAAGGCCACTAGGTGTATACTCCTGCTAAAAACAGAAACTATGATCAACTGTAAATGAAAATCAGATTTGTCAACTACATGCCAGCCCTCTGTGAATAAAGGCATTGAGAACCAGACGACAAGAAACGTTTGGTGGTCAAGTTTTGCGAATTGGTGCATGGTTTGTATGGATTACTGAAGATGGGGCAGCATCTTCAGGGTTGGATTTCATTTTGTCTTCGGGCCCAATTTATGCAAAAGAGGAAATCTCTACGGATGTCTTGTATGATTGTATCTGGGTCAGGCCCAGGGTGGATTTGGTAAGCACTGCAAAGAGAGAGAGAGAGAAAGAGAGAGAGAGGTCCATTCACCATTGGAAGATGCTCTAAGCTAAAATACCGAATCCATGAGATTGTCTGAATTGTCCAATGTACGGGCCAACAAAGTTGAAGACCAGAGATGGAATTAGCTGATTAATGGTTCATTTTACCAGGATTTGGCCCATGATCTTGAAAGAGGGCTGGGCCAATGACAAAACACGACGTCAGCTCCGTACACGTGGGGGGTGGGGTCAAGATGACATGGCATTTTGTTATTATATAGTGTCAGTGTGTCGTCCACTTCTCCGCTTCCCTATAGAAGAACAGTCCGGTACTACTGTACTAGTGAGGGTGGGTGGGGGGGGGGGCATCATACACCTGACTGGATCACAGGAGATGTTTTCAATGCATGATGGAATGTGCCTGTGAGGTTATTGTGAGGCGCGCTGAGTGAGGAGTAGATCCCAATTCTCATAGCAGCCAAAATTGATGAGATATAGATAGATGCTTACAACTTGCCAATCACTAGGCCACTCAACCACTGAATAATCTCCCAAGAATCAAAAGACCAATCCATACATGACAGTATCTGGTATTCAAGGAAGAAACATTAATATTGAAGACATTTCATTCATTATCTGGTGCAGTTGATATGGATGATCAGTCATGTAGTGAATTGACACATTTGGAACTTGAACTTGATACCCTTTTTGTCGTAACTTTTTTTTTTTGTAGACAACAGATTATAGACGGCAACAATATTATATACCTAAATTTGCATATATCAAATTTAAAATTCCTTGCTTCAATGGTACTCTCAATAAATATCTTATCTTAGAGGCCGACCGAAGTGATTCCATTCCTTCTTCCACTCACATGTTTGAGAATTGAGATGCTGTATGGTCTAATACTAGTCAATGGACAATGGTCGAAAGCTAAAAAGGAATTGTCAACTGTGGTTGGGGAATGGGGATCGTGGAATGTAGTGGCCCATGGGCCTGAGCAAAAATAAATAAATCTAGTTCTGGGCCGTCTGGCCATGGATTTAACCATTTCTCAAACTATAAAGTAGAATTCAATATATATTTCTTCTATCATAAGGCAAGATAAATAGTTATATAGAATAAATTTGTCGTTGTTTATCCTCATTGAATCAGGAATTTTTTTATACAAACTATCAAATTGATCTTTTCGGCCTATAAGTTTATCCTCCTTCATTAACTTTCAGCAAAGGTAAACGAATCTCTCAATCAAGCAAATATAATTTAACTATAGAGGTAAGCTATTAGTTTATTTACTTATTTTTTGTTTTGTTTTGTTTAATACTTCATTCATCCATCTGGGGAAGATTCCAGGGACCGTGTAGACTGTAGAGCACTGTTATGCCTCTAGGCCACTTTTCTTTCTGGGGTTTACAGTGTACTGTGTCTTTTGGCCTCCATCTGATACTGATAACTAGTTGATGCTTGGCTTTGGATTTGCCACGTGGATAATCACTTTAGAGGCCCATGAGACCATATGCTTTACGGCGATGATTTGTACTATACCCTGTATGGAATCCTTATGACAAAACCAATCCTGAACGTATTTACTGGAGGGTCCTTTCGGTAGAACCGACATTTCTATGTATTTATCAAAGGATGTTGAGTTAGACGACGCTACTTACTTAATAGCGTCGTCTAACTCTACACAGCATGCACAATGGAGAACTTTTTCCACTGTCGTCGGATTGGAATCTTTAACACCATTACCCTACCTTCCAATATTGCTATTGATGATGATCTCATCAATAGTCCCGATACAACACAATCACCCAAGAGAAAAGTCCAGAAAGAAACTAGCAGACTGACCTTTTGTATTTCATTTTCAGCCCCTGAATTGAATTCCATGTCCAATCAGACTGTGTTTGGAACTAAATTCTGATTCCATCCTGATTCCGTGGAATCATAAACGACTCTTGGAGATCTAAGGGAGCTGGTGTAGTGCTATTGCGACCCTAACTTTCTCGAGAAGTGGACAGATTTAGTAGTAGTAGTAGTACAAAAAATTATAAGCCCAAGCACTGCTACACGAGTCGTGTAGAAATTACAAAACCTATTAAATGTTGATCCCCAAACCCCAATAGGATATTGAATTTAATAGAGGTCTTTGGATGGATAAGGAAGAATATAGAGAATCAAGACCTGTTATCTCAGTATATTAGTTTAATGTTTAATCCCTGCTTCATAGAATCTATGTCTTTGTCACCCCACATTCCCAATTCCCAAACGAGTACCTGGTTTACTCTCTTATTATTGGGTTCTTGGGTCTCTCACAAAACTTAGTGCGACACTTTGTGGGGGATCTGCTTTACAGAAATAAATAAAGGGTTCATCTGGGCTTTTGGTTTCTTTTTTCTTCAATTAATGGGCTTTTGGATTTTGGTTTTGAGTCTTTTAGACTTTGTTGGGCTGCTTACAGTTACGGCCAGCAAAATCACATGAGACTATAGCTATAGGTAACCACCTTTATAGGCCCCCAAGAGTCACAAGCACACAACTATTTTAAAAATAGTAAAGGGCAGTATAGTAATAATAAATAATGATTTGGGCCTAACAGACAACTCCAAAATGGAAGAGGAAGACTCTCTCTAAGGGTACAGCTTAATACTCAAGCTCCTGGTGGCTCAAGTTAGTAGAAATGCTTTCCTCTTAAGGGATTTGATTTCACATTCTGTAAATAGCAATGGCTTAAGAAAGCTAGCAAGGGTAGTGGCCTCGGTTTCGATTTTTGACAGTGTATTCTATGAAGGGAATATTCCGTTTGGTAGGTTACGCCAGACAAAAGGGATATTCAGAGGGACGATATGGAGAATATCACAACACGTGTCACGAGGAGATCCTCTCTGAGACTTAGACAGAGAGAGAGAAGAGAATCTGCACAAAAGGCGTGGCTTGGAGTCTTGTATGTGAAGACTGACTTCTTTACAAAGAGGGAAACCCTAATTATTGCATAGGGAATTCGATGCAAATTAGTTCCATCTTTTCGTTTCAGCAGAATAAAAGACATTTGGAGATCTAATCTCTACTGCTGGAGACTGTAAATGGGTCCCAATGAAACCCGGGTATGGTATGCTATGGTTGCTATCTGACCCTTGATCCCCATAAACAGAAACTCCAGATGATCTGTGTCTGTCTATTTGTATTGGATACTGGATCCGGTTTGCTCACTTGGACCTCTTCCTGATCCGACCCAGATCAGAACCAGAGCCAATTTAGAACATTACAGTTTTCACCACCATGACCAAGTTACAGTTACGTTCCCACTTAAAGGTTCTGTAAATGCAGAGAGAATCTTCTTACCTTCCTACCCACTTCACTAAAGTTAGTAGCAGAAGAAGATTCGCAGTGCTTGGGCTCTTTTTTTATTCTTCTCGAGGACTTGTTTTTCTTCTTTAAGCAGTGTGGGCGTGTCTTCTTACTTAGATTAGAGGTGTAGAATTCCAACTGAGATATTCCTTACTTAGAGGCAAATATAATATTCTTTTTTGTGCCTAAAGGCTCAGTTTGAAAGGAGTACAAATACAAATATGTACAGTGTAAATACATACAAAATAAAAGCTTTTTGCATTCTACAAATTTGTATTTGCACTCTTTCCAAACTGAGCCTAAGGTGCAATTAGATATTCTACACTGTTAATTAATTGAACCACATCATTCCACTTTTAAAACCCTGAAAAGAAAGGTGAATTGTGGATGGATACTAAATCACATTTTGAATATGTTTCTCTACCTCTTCCATCTTTTTCATTATTATATGTGTAAATAATTAACATGGGATGTGCCCTTTCAAGCTTAATTTGTCTCTCTCAACCTTCCAATCTACCAGCTGCCATGTGTAGATTTGTGGAGAGTCCCAAAAGACTGAAATTACTGAAACCCAAGTAGACAAAATATATAGCTATCAGCTAGCCAAGTTGAAAGTGAGGTTTCTTTTTTTTTTCTTTCCTCCAGATGTTAAGAAGGAAGATATTCCACTAATATTAGTAATTGGTTCAAATTTGAAAATTTGAGATGGGTCATTGCAAATTACAACAAAAAGTGAAGAAAGCAGAGGACGACAAGAAGTAGAAGAAGAATCATCTTTTTAAATGGTGATTTGCATGCACTAGTACAAAGAAGACCCCAAAGGTTCTACAACCAAGCTCTAAGCACATGACCTCCTCTCTGTGTCCATACTCCAGACCAGATTCCTTCTCAGAACACCCATTAGCTTTTGCCTTTGTTCTTTGCAAAGAAGTTACCATACCCTTACTTTATCACCTGCTTTTCTTTCCCCTCTCTGGACCCAGCTTTATTCCTCCTGGAACTCACCCCTAAAAAGAAGACGATCCTCCTTCGATTCACCTTGTGCTCACAAACAACAACCTCTCTCTTTCCCAGCCCCATCTCTCTCTCTCTCTCTCTCTCTCTCTCTCTGTCCTCCCACTAGAACTCATCCTTCAAAAAGAGGAACCCTCCCCCTCCTCTGATTTCTTGTGCCCACAACATCTTTTATCCCGCCATCGCTGGAACATGCACATTAACAAGTGTGCTTTCTGAAGAGAAGACCAAGGCATTTTGACGTAAATTATGGGTTCTCCTGCAGAACTAAGCCTTGATTACAAGCCCAACAGCTATTCTCTGCTACTAAAGACCTTTGGAGATCAGACACAGAATCTCGAAGAGATCCTTTCTCGTCTTGAGGAAGAGCGGATCAAGATCGATGGGCTCAAGCGTGAGCTACCTCTCTGCATGCAACTTCTCACAAACGGTAATCATCTCACGCCTTGTATCACTATCTAATGCAGTATGATCTACGAAATTACATAGTTAAAGAAATAAACCAAGCAATCAGAATATAAAATCATCTCAAGGTAAAGGTGTAAGGGATCGTAACTGTTTTTGCTAAGGATGTTACAATAAAACTCAACAAGACTACGTACTGTTCAAGATTCCTGGAGACTAACTTAATAAATACACGACGGACGGTTGCGTAAAAATAGTTCAAATCAAGCATATATTCGTGTAAGAACTAATTAATCAGTTTTTCGTTTCAGCCATGGAAGCTTTAAGGCAGCAGCTACAGACCTACCGGACAAACCAGGGCCCGAGGCCAGTCCTTGAGGAGTTCATACCCCTTAAACATTCCGGTTCCGAAGGATCAGAGAAAGCAGCAAGCATCTCAGAGAAGGTAAGTTGGATGACAACAGCGCAATTGTGGAGTCAATCAAGTGATGGAATAAACAAGGAACAAGCCACTGTAGCATCGGCAAAAGAAGGCGATCATTGCTTCAGTGTGAGTCCCAAGCTAGCATTGGATAATAAGCAAAGGAATGGAGGAGCTTTTCTTCCATTCTCAAAAGAAAAGAGCTCATGCGCAACTCCTACTTTAAGCGTTCTTCCCGAGTTGGCTCTTGCCTCAACAAACAAAGAGATGGAAGATAAGAAACGCTCGGAGTCGGACAATGGGGTGTCAGTGTCTTGTTCAACGAGAGACAATTCCTGCAGCAAGGCCGCTGGTGGCGGAGGAACACCGACAACGGAGAAAGGAAACGCAGGAGGAAATGCAGCCGAAGCACAACCGACGGCGACAACCCAAACCCATAGGAAAGCAAGGAGATGCTGGTCGCCGGATTTGCATCGACGCTTTGTGAATGCCCTCCAAATACTTGGTGGCTCTCATGGTAACGGCCGGAGAATCCATTCCATTAATATCAGAAGATTTAATTTGCTCTTCTTCTTCTTCTTCTTAATTGAAAAAAAAAATTGATAATTAATTCGATGATATTATGACGGTTGACTGTTTTTTCGTTGATTTTACCAAAACAGTTGCCACCCCAAAGCAAATCAGGGAGCTGATGAAGGTTGATGGCTTAACAAATGATGAAGTTAAAAGTCATTTGCAGGTAATCTTTCTTTCATCGGTCTCTCGTATGATGATTGATGAAACATGCATGCAGAAGGCAACTCATGAAGATTCCCTCTGCGTCAAGTTAATTATCTGAGTGGTGTATAGTTCGTACTTGGTACCTGCAGATACGCTGCAGACTAACATTCTGATCTGTTATTCGTTCTTTCAGAAATACAGACTCCACACTCGAAGACCGAGCCCAAGTCCCCAAGTGGCTGGAACCCCGGCACCGCAGCTTGTGGTCTTAGGTGGAATTTGGGTCCCACCAGAATACGCAACGGCAGCGGCAGCAGCAGCAGCTCATCCTGCTGCGGCATCAACAATCTACGGTGCACATCCAGCCTCCCACCCTTCAACACACTATTGTGCGCCGGCGGTGGCGCAAGAGTTTTATCCCACGCCACCTCACCACCAGTTGCACCACAGTCTTCACCCCCAACAACACATCTACAAGGCCTCATCTCAGACCCATAGCTCGCCGGAATCTGATGGCAGACCGGCTGGAGATGGGTCGGAGAGCATTGAAGATGGGAAGTCGGAGAACAGTAGCTGGAAAGGCGATAGTGGTGAGAATGGAGGAGACAGAAAGGGGTTGGGCTCCATGAGAGACGATGGAGATGATCAGAGCAATGGAAGCGAGATCACTCTCAAATTCTAGCTAGTCTTCTGTAGCTTGTTAGGCTTTAGACTGTGACTGAGAGTTGAGAGGGTAAAAAGGGAAGAAAGGGAAAAAGTGAGTGTTTCTTTTGTTTTCCTAGTGTAGAATAGATTGCTATTACTTTGTTCGGTCACCAATAACTTGACATAGACTAAGAAAAATTGATGTTTGGATTGCATGGCTTTCTGGCGCTTCATGGACTTTTAACTTTATCTTACCGAATGACGGATTTGCCCTCTCTTCTCCCCCATAATGACGGGAATTCAAAAGACGACTACGTACTTCAAGGCAGGAACAGCGAACAAGAACCCCAAGAATTTGGCCTTTTCACGGAAAAAGACAACCGTGACCATTTGAAATTGAAAGCATAAAATCCGGTCATGTTAGATCCGGGAAGAATTCAGTCCGATTCGAACAACCGGGGCCTCGCCCCGAATTGAACGGGTTTTCCCAATCTTAAAATAGGGATGGAAAAATAATTTTTCCCTGAATTGGGAATGGAGTGGAGACGGATTTTGCATATAATTTCTTAAGTTCGCCTCAAATTCACAGGTAAATTATTAAATATTCATAGGTTTAATATTAATTTCTAAAATATTTTTAATTTTTTCTCAAATTCCTAAAACATTTAGATCCCATAATCTAATGTTTAAAATCCCATAATCCAATTACAATGTTTAAAAGACCTCAAATTCCCATAATCTAATTTTTAAAATATCCCAAATATGATGTATTTTTTAGGTATTGGCTCAAAGCAGGAAAAATCCGAGGATTCTTCATCTCCGAAAAGGAGTAAGTGCCCCGCCACCAAAGACAGGGCAGAGATGGGGCAAAGGATTTTGGTGATGGGCCAGGGGCGGAAACAGAGTGCCCCATCCCATTGCCATTCCTATCTGATACTGGCAAATTTGGGTTTTGAGCAAGTTGAGATGATGATAAGCGAGCTTAGGTTGTCGATTGATCGTATACAAATACAATGTGGCTCCGCTTGAGACAATTCATGTTAATAGAGAAGTGTACAGACAAAATGCACATTTATGGAACAGCTTTGGGGAGGATTTTGTAAATTCTAGACCCTAGTTGCTCCTTAAACTCTCAATTTGTACCTACCCCAAAACCCATAGCGAGTTAGATTTTGAGAATCCAAACCCACCCCACATTTTAGGGTAGGGCGGATTGGATTAGAACCCACATCTAATTTCCTATTATTTCTTGTTATATATAAGCGATAAATAAATAAAATGACATGAATAAACAACAAAATTTTCAATTATGGTTAAAACACATAAAAAACCCTTCCCAATATAAGGGTTGGGCTTAGCCTAATACCTCGTATCTGTAAAATCCCAAAACTTATCCCCACCCCAAAATCCATCCTTCAAGCAAAAACAAAGTACCCTGACAGGGTGGGACCACGGAATATGATAGAAATTATCATCCCTATGGAAAACGTTAATCCTCTCCCACCTACATTTACCCAGATAAGTGGAAATGCGACCAAACACAAAAACCAAAAGTTATTCAAATAACTTTGGACCAGGAACCACATGTCCGGGTAAACGTGTTACCCAGGTACCGATAAAAAAACGAGACCTATATGCCAATGATGGTTAGGGCCTTAGGGGACTTATAACAACGGTCGGTCTCTCTGCTTCTACAAGTAACCCTCACTCTTGGTTGAAGTGAGGATCATCAAATAACCTCAGGTCACTTCCTCCCATTAGTTTCTTACTCAGAAAATAAAACAAAATGAAACAACAATTCCTCCAACCAATAAAGAAGCAATACAGTCTCGACGGCTGCTTAAAAAATGACCCAGTATAGTCAGTCATTCGGTCAAAATCATCAAATGCATGTTTTTTTCTTTTCTGGGTTTTGTCTAACCATGCTGGTGGCTTATTCTCCAGAAGCAAGTAGATGACTACAACTCAAACCAATTTCTAACTTCCTCAAACTAGATCACTACGAGTAAACATTGAACATGGTATCGCAAATAACTAACAAAGACAGGTTGAATTTAGAGATTAGTAAATAGCCCCAGCTACATAGATTCCACTACTTTACAATGTCCACCAGGCAAGAGTTTATTGGGCTTGAAGTGTGGACAAGCGTGGACCCACTCATGCATTGTGTTGCAATTTAATTAATTACAATGGGGGCAGAGGGAATCAAACACTAGGCCAATTGATCAAACAAGTCCTGATACCATCTACATGAACCGTTCAAATAAAAGCTTAGACTATCAGGTGAGGTACCCAAATAGGCAATTATTCTCTAAAAAACTTGTCACAGTGAAAGAGAATGATGTGCACCCATTCTAAGTTCCTTCATCGTGGGTTATTTTGTATCTTTTTCCTTTTCTGTTGGGGAAAAAACTAGGATGTTTTGTTGGAAAGACAGAGTATTTAGTCAAGAGTTTCAAGGCAGGGAACCACATGCACGATCCATGGATTTTGAACCTCAAATCCATGTGCAGCCTGCACCACACATAGGAAGTTGTACATCAGCAGTGAGGTATCCCACAGACAGAAGGTTCTTCACTTCTTTTGACTTGCAGTGCCAGGCCGATCTTTTAGCAACCAAGTTTTTACTTAACCTGAAGGATAGAAAGAGAAATAAAGGGTCAAGACTCCCCATCCCATCCCATCCCATATGCTAGTTCCGCTTTAAGAAGATACCTCGCTTGTACTCTCGCTTCATTGGTCCTCCAACATCACCACAGGATAAATCCGTCGCCTTTTATTTCATTATTCAGATTTCCCCATTTCAGATAGGTGTTGCTCTAAGTAAGCCTATGTTGCATGTTATGTTTTCTTGAGGTCTATGCCCAGATCTTCCCGGGGCATTTGAATTTCAGGCCCAGGCCATTCTATGAGTGGCCGAATGTACAGGCTTAAATTTCAGAGGAAGCCTTACATCACCACCCGAAGGCTGAAACGTAGCGGATTCAGCTGGCTTTCCAAGATGGGTCCCGCATGGACAATCAGTCATTTGAGTGGCTGTAGGCTTCGTCTCTTGGAATAGCGCTTATACAGAGCGCTTCAAGGCATTCCATTTTCACTTCTTTTTTTTTTTTTCTTTTCTATTTTCCTGTTAACAAGATAGATGCAGATGTATACAAAAAGGAAATCCATGTAGTTCATAACTGGAAGGTTCCGTTCAACTCCAAAAAATAATATCCACAATGCACTATAGACAGACAGTCAGTGTCCTGCATTTCATGCCCTGCCATTTGCATATATACTGCCATCCCTCATGCCACCGACATCATCTGCATCAGCCTCGACTATTACCATATCAACAAGTGACTGTTATGAGCAACATGAATGAGAATCAGTTGAAGTCATGCTTTTACAGGCACTCTTACCATCATCTAATTGCAAAGATGCATATCTTTTTCTATCGACAAACGCAAGAAATATGGATCAAAGTTTAACAACTTGTACAACATGAAAAACTCTTTTTTCTTTTTAAGTAACATGAAAAACTCTTTTTTCCTATGGTGTTCATAGTCGGGAAAAATCCATAGGGTCAACCAGGCCAAAAATCTAGCAACCATTAACCACATAATAAACTTTTGACTGGTGATTCACCAGATAATGAAGAAAAAAGAACTCATTATATAAGATTATGCCATTATCTTAATCTTTTTTTTGATAAATGCCATTATCTTAATCTTACGGTTAGCTAAACTCAAATATGATCAACCATGATTTAGACATCAATTTGCACTATCTAGTTTGTAATCAGTAACTACCATGCTCAGTTGTCACTTAGCTGCATCCCTGCATCACAAGCATCAGGCATGCCAAGCACATACTCGCAGGTATATACACACGAGGCAGTTTCAAACATGCCAGCTAACCTGAGGCAGAGTCAATATTTCTCTTACTGCATTTACAAATGAATTAACATATTTGGGACATCCATCATAAATGAGCATGTGAATGCATTTACGTTTGCACTTAATGTTCTCATCCTGTCTTAAGAGAACAACCACCCAATATAATTTTGATACAAGATTGTAATAGACTAGATGTCCTCTTCTGAAAATGGTCTGTGGGATCTCAAATTTCTATTCAGAGAGGCAAGAGTGTCAGTTAGATCAACGAATATCTCATTCTTTTTTTTTATTTTTGAAGAGGTAAGGTAAACTTGTATTAATAAAAAAAAAAGAGTATGCAAGTATATTGGTTCACTGAACAAAAGCTTCTCTACATATGAACACCCTTAAGATCCCCCAAAGGAGTCCACAGCCAAAAAAGATGAAGACAAAAAATTATCCTCAAAAAGCATGTTGGTACTCAACCATCCTCTAAGCTCTTCTACGATTAGGTTTATCTAATTGAATATCACATTCAATTAGATGTCGTGATTGGCTAGCAYTCTTGATGAGTTGATGATGCACTAGCAAGAGAAGGGCAGGCAGGCAAGACTTAGAGAGAGGGACACCTGGTTGAGGGGCTAATTTGGATCTGCATAACATTGTATATTTTCTTTCTTTGTTCTTCTGGGTCACCCTATGAGGCTATATTACTGCTGTATCTGCATTCATCCTACATCTTGTTTGGCAAGCTTGACAATCTTAATTAATTCCACTGAGTGTGTTCACGATCAAAAAAATACATGCATGGTACTTGCTTAGGGTATAAGGGTAGAAAGAATGGAAAGAGACTAACCTGTAATTCCTGTTCAGAGCTTTTGAGCCTTTCAGAGTAGTCCTTAACTTGCAGAAAACATCTGTGCAACTGCAGAGAATACACAAGGAAGAAACCATCATCACCAAGCAAATTTATCAGGTAAGTCTTGAGAACATACATGGAAAATAGGGACATGTAGCAGTTACCTTGGTCAGCTGCATCTGTTGGTAGGAAGATAGCTTCTTAGCAGTTGCCAAGGCTTCTTCCAATTTCTGCATGCATAGTTAAGCCACCAGGACAAGGAAATAATTTCAAAACGCAGATGCTTCCAAGTAATCATCTTCAGAATAAAACAAAATAAGTAATGCCTCATAACATATTATGGGATGACAAACTTACCCAAGATTTCTTCTGTAAATCTAAAACAAACTGTTTTTTCCCTTCTAAGTTCTCCTCAAGCTGAGAAATCTGATAATCAAAAAATTGAAACTAAACACTAAATAACTATATTTTGATCTTTCTTTATTCCCTCGATTGCAATAAGGAGCTAAGAAAGAAAGAAAAAAAAAAGATGACAATAGAAAGCATCACTGGAAGCAAAAAACGAAACTGCCATTAATAACAAACTAAAATCCTGTGCCCAAAAGGGGTTACTAGCATAATCTACATTACCAAATAATAAATTCTACTCCTTTGTAATTAGAGAAAGAATAGGAAAAATATCAGAAGCAACCGATTCACCTAGCACAGTTCTTACAATATAAGTAGGCAAATAGAGGAATAATGGATAATGATAAATTGGGAGTCTCAATATTCAAATTTGAGAGGCATACAAGGAAGAAAAAAGGAAAATTGCATTTCATGTTATGCAAGTGGAAGAAATGAAGCTCAAGTATTCCACAATAACTATATAGGAGATAATTCTTCATTGGCAGTACTGGTGCAAGTACAAAAAAGAGGAAAGGAGGGGGGAAAAAGGAAAGTGAAGTCCTGGGACAGAAAACCTGACTTCCAGAGGCTGCAGAGCTCAACCACCCCTAGGGCCAGGAGTGGAGCCATGGGGGGCCATGCCACCCCTCTCCATAAAAAGTTTTGAAAACAACAGAAATGAAGAACCTGCCCTGCCTAGGGTCTACGTTCTAGCTAGTAGCCAACCACTAGGGCAAGCCAATATACATTGCAGCTGAAAAGGTTTGAACAGGAAACCACTAATCCCTTTGCAAATGAGTCCAGGGGCAAAAATTATGAATAATATCAGTTGGGTCCATCTGTCTTATCCTAGTTTCCATTTGAGAGAAAACCCTTTTCAAGTTCCTGAGATTAAATGGGTGTCAAAGAGATGGCCAATTCTTTGTTTAGCCTATAATGAGGTGAAAACTGTCATAAAAAATTAAAAAAAAAAAAAAAAAACATGAATAACCTAATTCCACAGTGTTCCTCCACTACAGCAAGACCAATTTCAATTGTCCTTTGTGGAATCAACTTCTAACCACATTAGTCAGTCAACTATTCTTCTTTAGTTTTAATCTTAATCATCAATACACAATTCTAATCATCTAGACCTACTCATACATATATTACAATAGATAGCGCTCCCTTCCCAATCCAGAGGCATCCAGCATCATATACCTAACTCATTAATACATGTTTGAATTTTGAAGAATCATCATGAAAGACTTGTCTGTTTTCAAAATGACTTAAGTCACTAAATTTCCAGAATTCACCAAAATGTTTAATTCATTAAATTCCAGGCCTTTGTAAAGTACAGGAATTCCAACACAAAGAAAACAGATAAAGGCATTGTCACCAAAAAAGAAGAATAATAATCTTCTCTTAATAGCTTCACAAAGTTGCTTTCTCCCAAGAATCAGAATCCAAACAGCATACAAACCTCCTTTTGGAGCTCCTCTCGCCTTTGAATGGATATGTCCAGCTGTTCTTTTATCTAATAATGTGACACATGAAAGACAATAATCATTAATTGTATTGTTATCAATACAAGTGTATGCATTGACTTTATTAACCATCAACACCTAAAGATGTTGATTCACCTGATTGTAATAATCACTGGAGTTCGACAACAACTCTTTCCTGTGCTGATCAGTGATATGGGAACTGCTTACAGGAAACCAGAAGCATAATTAACAATAACAAAACACGACAAGCTTATACAGTTTCTTAATAATTGTGTTATGAGAAAAGACCAGAAATTCAATAAAGCTCTTTTTGAATATAATGCATATCTCGAAATAGATAACTGAGTTGAAACATGATTTTATTCCTAGTAATTAAAGCTCTTGTTAACACATAAAACGTAAAAAAATCCAAAAGAGAGACTAATGCTCCAAAAAGTTTACCAGCCAAGTCCTCATAACAAAAGGCAGAAGATATTAGAGAGGGTAGTCATTAATAGGAAATATCTTTTTTAAGCAACAAAGCACAAATGAGCATACCCAGTCTGATTCTTTGATTGTTGATCTTTATCCTTGTCTCTGCTTTTGTCACGATCATTATTACCCATATCTGTATCTTTTTCCCAGTCCAAACTATGGTTTCTTTCCCAATCATGATCACGGGTTCTATCATGTTCTTGCTCATTTTCTTCCTTACTTCGGCCTCGATCCTGATCCAGTAAGCAATCCTTTGCTCGACCATGATCCCGTCCATGTTCATATTCTCTTTCTCGTTCCCAACCTCGGACTCGAGATCGATCATTGTCTCGGTCATGATAGTGGTTCCTATCATAATAGTGGTCTCTATCATTGTCATAAAACCTGCATTGATCTCTTCCCTTGTCCAAATCCAAGACCCTCTCAGAATTATGACGGAAACTTTCACGATTAAAATTTGGTCTTGCACCTCTGGTCCTAACTTCATTTACTCTTACAACTCGACCACCTATGGTCTAATTTAAAGTCCCACAACATCAGATGCCTAAACAATTTAAATCGGACATAAAATAAAATCTGAATTTATCACTATACTACAAGGCAGAAAGTGGAGTATCATATATGCCAAATGCTAATCAACACAACACTACTTGGTGCTGTAATTGAAGAAGAAAGACATACCCTGCCATCCATATCATTGATGGCACCAATTGCAGATCTAGGATTTGTAAAAGTAACAAAAGCATAGCATTTTCCCCCTGCTTCTCGATCATTAATTATCTGCAAGAGTAGCAGTCAACACAAGGGATGAAGCACATCATAACTAAGGCCCCGTTTGGTTTGCAGGAATAGGGGCCCAGAATTGGAATCCGAATGGGTTATTCCGATTCCAACTGTTTGGTTGAGTGGAATCGGAATCCCATTCCCATTCCTGCTGGAATAGCATTCCCCCATTTGAGGGAATGGCCATTCCCTGCCCCTCCCTTGGGAATGAAATCCCATTCCTATTGATTCCAATTCCCATTCCCATTCCCGTCTGAACCAAACAGACTATGGGAATAGACCATTCAGATTCAGATTCCAAAGGATTTTGATTTTGATTTTGATTCTGATTCTGGATGCGAACCAAACTAACCCTAACATCAGAGCAATAATCAAAATAACCCAGGTAAGAGTTTGCTTTTATGAACGGAACTTTAGAAGAAGACAAATGCTGAAAGAAAAATAAAGCCCTCAAAATCAACATTAAGAAATGAGTAAATCATAGCATTCGTAAATCAAGTTGAAAGATTTGAACACTAGTTCAGAATACTTCAGAAAAGATAACAAGAAGAAGATTTAAATTGAAATCCATGTCATTCATAAATCAAATCTTGAATGGTACTGCAAACAAATAGGTTGAAACGACATATGAACAAGTATGTATATGAAAATGCCTAGAATTATCTTCCACGTTTTCCCTAACGAAACATTAAGTTAAATATAGTAAAGAAAAGCACTTCACTGGGGGTTACGAGGATTGTATGACTGCTTTAAAACTGCGTGAGGAAACAAACTCTGCGAGTTGAAGCTAGAATACAACTCTCAAAAGAATCAAAACTCAAATCATACCCCACTGTTAAACACCATTTTGAAACAGCTGAGTTGCAAACGCTATGTTGTGGTTGAGCTAGCAATCAACGTATCCACAAATTCTAGAGTCGATAGCATAAAACTAAGAACAAGATAGAAAGCTTGCTTGACATTTAGACGTTTTTGTTCATGAAGAAACCAAAAAGCGAACATCTTCCGTTAAAATTTCAACTGAAGAATGCATGATCAACTAAAAGCCAAAGTAATGGAACAAGAAGAAACACCAGGGAAACGAAAACCTATGGAGGCTGAAGGTGGGTGGGGGGAATAGACCTTAACGGCGACGACAGCGCCATATAAATCAAAAACTCTGCGAATGCTTTCTTCGGTACAATCATAGGGTAGTCCTCCCACATAAATCGAATTGTCGTCGTCAATCGTCATCTCTTGCTAGCTTCCTTCTTGCGTAAGTCATAAAACGGAGAACCTACTCCCAAGTCCAACCACAGTCCAACTACACCAAGTCCGACCAGCTTATTCATAAACCGGTTAATCGAACCAATGAGACCAATCGAAAAATCCGGTTAGTCGAACCTATCTGTTCGGGTTCGATTCGATATTTCGGAAAAACGAAGGTACCGGTTCAGCTTAAAAAAAAAACGGCAGTTAATCGTATCGAACGGTATATATTTATATCTTATATATTTTTCATGTATATTATATATGTTTTTCATATAAATTAAATGTTTTGTATAAATATATATGCATTATATATTATATATTATTTATAATATAATGTATTATGTATTTATATTGTATAATTATATATTTTTATAATATATTATAAATTCAGAAAAACCAAAAAAATTGAAGGACCAAATTGATCAACCAAGTTAATTGATTGGGTTTGGTTCGGTGTTGATTTATGGTTTTCTAAAAAGCTCAAAGATCGATTAGATTTGGAAAAACTTTCCACCATTTGGTTGCACCCGTAGAAACAAAAACTATTTCACTACTCTTTTTGTATAAATTGCATATTAGCACCCTATACTTTAGGGTAGTCTTATTTTAATACCTGAACTTTAAAATGTTTCATTAATTACTTGAACTCACTCCGAAAACTCTCACTTTAGTGCAATATTGTTAATAGACATTACAATGAGTATAAAAATTACCAAATTGTCCTTTTTATTGTTACAAACAATAAAATACATTTACAAAATCAACAAATTGGTCCCTTCCATGTACCAACGGATGAATAACATGGATTATCCTCGTACTTGGCAAGGCATGGACAATTTGATCTCTTTCATATGCTGCTTATATTGAGGGGACTCGCTCTATTCATCCAAGATTGTTAAGTGTTGGGTCAAGGAATTCTTAATTATGACTTTCTGATGGCATCAAGGCATCTTTGAGAGGAGGTGGCTGGTGGTGGGTTTGGGACTAGAGAAGACGATGAACAAACAATGTCTTTTTAGAAAGGGTAATTTTAAGATTTTAAAAGTTTCAAATCACATGTAACATCACTTGTTCGATAACCGATGGAATTACTATCACATGATAGGATGTAAAGTGGTAGTTTTGGGGGGTTTAGGCATTGTTGTGACTAGTTCTAATGTTTGAATATTAAAGTGTGATTACCCCCAAAATGCAGGATACTAATCTTCAATTTCTATTATTTTACAGGGTAGGCAACATATTCGATGAACTTGATAGTTGTATCACATGCTACTGTTGCATTTCTTTGTTTTTAGTGTATGTAATTTAAAAGTTTTACAAGGATATTTTTTTCCTTATATTTTCTCACATTCCAACACATTTGTAATTTATCCAAATTTCATTTAAATAATTTTTAAATTTTAATTTTAATTTTAAGTGACCTTTCATCCTTAAATGACTTTTCACTTAAAGTTTTCTTAAATGTGCCTTTTAATTTAAACTAGTAAACATGTTCGTGCATTTGCACGTGCTAGTATCTCTAAGGCAAAATTTTTTATAATTCATGGACAATTTTCTGAACAGTTATAAGTGGGCAGTTTCTAAAATGAGAGTAAAGGACATATATGCCCTCTTTGTGCCCATTGTATGTTTAGACAAGAGAGATAGAAAACGTCCGATGAAAATGTAAAACGCTATACGATGAATTGTCTAGATTAAGTGTGTCCTTTAATGACGCTGTATGAGATGAGTTCGAATCTGATGCACTCGTGAGGCTGCATGTAAAACGCTACATAATCAATCACTAATGAACATAGCAATGTTCCTAGGCATGGCCCATCCGTCGTGCCAAGCTCCCAGCTGAATGCAATTCAAATCGAGTCTCAAAATAGGTGGCCCATGAGCCTCAAATCTAACCATGTCCTCTGTTTGAACATAAGAACATCTTAACTCTTCAATATCTCAGTTAAAAAGCTAAATCCAGTGGAAATTCTTAAGTTCTATTGTTTATTTTTGTTTATTCTCATTTCAAGATACATAGGCGCCTAGAAACGTTAACAAGTCGATTTATAGAAAAATGACTTTCACAAAAATCAAAAATTAAGATAAAGAGTTGCCACCACCTTTTACCTAAAACGTGATCGGATCGGCTGCCCACAACGTGCACCCTACAGGTGCTCCACAGCCCATCCCCTCCGTGCACCAGTAACATCTCCTGTGCTTGTGATGGGGAGATATTCTCAATGCACAAAGAGGATGGGCGGTGGAGTGCCCTATGTGGGCAGTCGATCCCATCTCATCACCAAAGACACTTAGGGCCTATTCGTTTCCTCTTAACTCTTATCTCTTAAGAAGAATCTTTTAACTTTAAGAGAAAAATGGTTGTTCGTTTTCTCTTACCTCTTATCTCTTAAAGTGCAATTATACAACTTTTTGTTTTCCAATGATATTCCCAAAAAGACAAACAAAAACTCTCATATATGAGGTCAAAATAGATATTTGATAATTTTTAGAATTCAGAATTTAGAACAATATTTTTCTGAAGAAAGAAGAATTCACAAATATCAATATACTCTTAATGTAATTATTGCACTTTTAGGTGTCAGATTTCAGAGCAAACGAACAGGCCCTTAGGTGGTGTTTGATAGCACTTTTCATACCTTTGAAGTCTGAAAATGATGCTTTTCAGATGCTACTTACATTTGGGGTTGGGTTTGATTAGCAGATCTGAAACCCACTTTTAGATCTAAATAGAAAGGAAGCGGACCAGGTGTTTAACGCACTAAGAGGCATTTTAGATGTGCGTGAAAGACAAAAATTCCCTCATACAATTTTGAAATGACCCATAATGTCCTTCATATAAGCCAAAAAATTATGTCATTCGACTCCTCCCCTGGTTTGAGTAAGGAGATTTGCCACACTAGGTTCTGTCCACAAGTATGTTCTTCGGCTCATTAGGTTTTGTTTTTCTTATATTTTTCTAGGGTTTTTGGCATTCTAACAGTTTCTGCTTATTTGTTTTTTTATCCATTTTCGTTGTGGTTTTAGGTAGCATTCGACTAGTGAACTCTAAGCAGTGTTGAAGCAGCGGTGATGATGAGTATTTCGGCGTTGTTTCTTTTTTCTCTGTTGATCCATTTTCATTGTTATTTCATATAGCATTCAACTGGAGGCTCTAGGGTTTTTGGGAACATGTTAAGTTTTAGGTATAAAAACAAATTCTGAGGTCTGCCCTCATAGCAGTACTCCTTACTCGTATACCTTGAGAAGATTTATGTGTAATTGAAAGGGAAACTTTAGAAGATTTTTGTGCAAGTTTTTCTCTTATTCATGATTTAGCTTCGGAAAGATTTATAGATCTTAGTCCATTTTCCTCTCATAGAATCAGTAATATTTTACCAAACCCTCAAGGAAAAGCTTCCTTTGTATCCATTTAAAGAACATTAAGCTGTTGACATTGTTATATGAAATAGTGATGGTTTAGCTACAGATGGTTGAATATATTCTATGAAACATTAATAGTAGACTTTCTCCTAAGAATCATTGCGTTTCTGAGAAGTGGAATTTTTTCACTCGGCAGAATCATGTGTTGGAAGGGGTTTTCTCATTCTGTTTCGAATGAGAATCAGTCAACCAGTTTACACCAAACGTGATTCTCAGTAGGATTGACAGAATCACTCACAGGGAGTGATGCCAAATAGGGCCTAGAAAAAGCCCTTGAAACTGGAATTGGGATGGATGGGAGTTAGAATCCGAATTAGAATCAGTTAGAATGGGCATTCCCACAAGAAAAGCAATGGATGCCCATTCTTTTAAATGAGAGAATGCCGATTTAGAAAGAATGGAAATAGGATTCCAATTCTGTCCAATCAAACGATTGGAATTGGAATGGCCCCCTCAATGTATTATTACGACAGAACTATCGAGGAGACTTTATGATTAAGCCACTAGAAGTAGATGAATAAATTTGTCCTTGAGAAATGAGGTACAACTATTTCTTCTTGCTACTTTTTATACCATATAACTAGAATAAAATGAGACATGCAGCGCAAAAGACACTTCATAGTAATAGCGCCACAAAGGTACACAATAGGCTGTAAATGTTGCACTTGAATTTGCAAAATTTACATGTAGAATGGGCATAGCATGAAACATTAGCAACCCAAATGTGCAATATCCACAATGCTACAGTGCCTTTTTACTATTGAGTATTGACACCATCAAACATGCCTTTGTCATTTAGGCTGTGTTTGGCTGCAATGCAAATTAAGTTTCACTGATGTAAAACCATGGCAGTGCAAGTGATTTGAGTGAATTAAGACATGATGCAGAATAAAGTAAAATCTAAAATAAAATTAAACAAAAATTTGTTTTTTTTTTTACATTTGTATTTTCATGCATTTGTATTGGTGCAAATAAATTTACATTGCAATCAAATATAGCCCAAGGCTCATTTTAGAAAGAGTATAAATACAAATATATAGTGCAAAACCTTGTATTTTGTACTATTTTGCATTGTACATATTTGTATTTACACTCTTTTCTAACCGAGTCTAAAAAGAGTATAAACACAAATATGTACAATATAAATACATACAAAATAATAAAAATGCAACGTTTTGCAGCCTATGTATTTGTATTCGTACTCTCTCCAAACTCAGCCTTAATTTCTAAGATAATAAACATGTACTCTCTCCGCCTTTGGCATCTAACTTATGTCCTTGGGAAAATAAAGAAAACATGTGTTGGTATGTGCCTTTCTTTCACTCATACATCAAGAGAAAGTAACAAATGCGTGGACTTCTTTGCTAACGAGAGTACTAATGAAGGAAATTTCTATGCTTATAATTCCATCAATGTGGTTTCAAGAGCGGCAAGATTACTGC